ATTAAGATTTGTGCAATTTTTTTACACTATAGGTGCAACGGTTAGCTTGAGTTTTTTATGAGAACACTTACACACACACACACACACAGTCAAGCGGACAACTAATCCACGACTCCGCTATACACAACACAATACATAGATGACATATTATTTTTTTTAAATTTCTTTAGAAAGGTCTACAGAATAATTGATAAATTTTGTGTTTTAAGATATTAACAGTATTAATGGTAGAATAAGTTAAACGGTAAAGTTTCTTAACTGGGCTACGATAATTTTATTGAAACTATCGATTCGATTAGTAAACCTACATGCGATTTTTGCACCATCAGCAAGTTTGGTTGGTTAGGTTAGGTTATGATAGTTTAGTTTTATAATAAACTTAGATATACGGTAGGCTATTTTAAAATATCAATTATTAATCAATATTTTTAATTTGATAGTTCAATAAAAAATATTAACTTAAGTTAGCGTAGCCCAGTTAACACATTCGCGGCGGCATGGGAGCGATCGCTCCCATACGGAACCCTAATGCCATCCTGGTGGGTGCGATCGCTCCCAAGCTGCAATGCAGTACGAAATGATTTATGTTCAAGCCAGGATTAGAGCTAGAAACTTGAAACCTCACACAGCACTGCTTAATAGTATACTGTATTTTTTGTGCTGTAGGTTGGTAGTAAATTTTCCCGTAAAATCCCCGTCTGACAATCTCAAAAATGTATTTTTTGTCCCGTCTTTTTCCCTCCATTTGCAATACAATTCCAATTGGACCAGCTACGTTCCAAGCAGTGCTGCTATCTGTGGGTGTTTAGCGAAACTACGTCGAATCTTGTTGTAAAACAGGACATCCTCGCACGTTATTTGCTATACGTCAGACCGAAATTGGAAAGCCAATCACACGCGGCAATCGGGTTTGTTCGACGCTGAGAGCCGCATTGGAGATACGCCCGCCATTTGACGTGCCGCCGCGAACGTGTTAAGAAACTGTAGGCCTACCCAAGTTAAATCTTTTGGCTCAGTATTATCACGCTTACCATTTCTAAGGTTACACTTCCATAAGTTATCTGTTGGCACAAACAACCGAATGAAAATATCGATCGATAACTTATACGGTATCGATTATTCGATATATCGTTTGGTATCATTATTACTCATTCGGTTGTTTGTGCCAACAGATATGGAAGTGTACCCATTTCGAACATAGCCTATGCTTACTATCAGTAAATCCAAGCATCCATAGGCCTAGGCTACCCATTTTTTATATAGGCTACATACTAAGTTAGGCCTCGAAGCTACAGGTATTGACCTTTTCAATTGCTTGCCTTTTTCAGCTCAGCATGTTAGCTTAGGTAGTTTTAAGAATGTGATATATGCATGGTTGATAGTAAGGCCCTTCTACAGCCTTAAAGAATATTTTGAAGCAGACTTCAGCTCCATCAATTTTGCATGATGTTTTTAGTTTTTTTCCAAAATAGCCACTCTCATTTAATTTTGTAAAATGAACACTTATTTTTATGTATGCTTTAGTCAGCATGTTTTACTATTGTACTTATGACTGTCTTGTGCATTTCAAGCATCCATGACAAGATCGATTGCATGTACCTAATTTTGCCTAAAGATCAATAAATGTCTTATGTCTTAACAGTAACTTACCTAAGTTAGTTAGCCTATATTTCTAAGCACGCTGCTTCAAAAACAGACAATTCCTATCTTAAGTTAATACACCTACACCTTGTTTATGAATGTAGGCCTAAGTCATTAGTTGAATAGGCTGCACTTTAGTTTACGTCCTACACTCATTCTAATCAAAAATATCAGTTAGATTATTCGATATTTCAATTAGGCTATTTCATTAATAACCAAACTTGATAGCCTACTTATATTGTATATAGGCCTACTCGAATACTTGATAATCATTCGATATATTCATTCGAATGAGTGTAGGACGTAAACTTAAGTGCAGCCGTTGAATACATTTACTGATATTTTTATTAAGTTAATTAATTAATTTCAATAGGCTAGGCAACTGTACCTACTAACTTAACCTAATTAATAACACTCAAGCAAATAATAGCCTACTGCATTTTGTTACTTTGAATAACAAGGCCTAGGAACAGGATTGGATTAAAACTTACTGGATTTCAACACCACAATATAGTTTTGGAATTTTTTGATGTTTACAATTTATTAATAATCATTGTTCCTCTCCTTTATCTTCTGTCAACACCAGCCAGACCATTGACAAGATTCATTAATTTTCAATGCCGTTATCCTTCACTTCACTTCATTTTCATATCTTTTAACTTCTCACTATAAATATTTCTTGCATTTTCATTGTCATACAGCATGTAATTGTTGCCATTTCTCGTATAAAAATCGTGTATAACATTTAAATAAATAAATGTTTAGGTTATAAAATACCATATTATCGCCGTTGTCACTTGTCAGTCGTCAGTACGGTGACGGTCAATTACAAATACAATTACAATAATTATCGTATCCTACCATAAAATATCGTATATATGGTAGACCTGACTGAAGCGAGCAGCTGATGCCATTCCCACAATGCAACATTCTCCTCAATTATAAGCTATGCCCCAAAATCAGAATTATAAGGTATGACTCAAAATCAGGATTATAAGCTATAGAACAGATTCGGAATTATAAGCTGTGCCACTATTTGACCATTATAAGTTGTGACACTGAAAATGTTTCATACCTTATAACGTTTTAGAGAAATTGTGGCATAGCTTATAATTTTTCGTGAAAGTGTGGCATAGCTTATAACTGATTATAAGCTATGCCACATTTTCAACATTATAAGCTATGGAACAAATTCACGATTATAAGCTATGACATTATAAGCTATGACACCCCACGGGAAGTAGCTATTGCCGTAGGTCTCATGGTAAGACCTAGGCCCGGGATCGATTTACTTTTTCATTTTGATGTCCCCAGAGGCCAAAAAGGTGTAAGGCGGGGTAAACTTGAATGAGTTTGCGAACCAGCATGATCGTACACCATGGGAACTGGGTTTAACGGGGGTTTTATGGGGTAAAATGAGTTTTTCTATTTTTTTTACCCTCAAAACACAAAATTTATAAATTTCCTCCAGATTATTTGAAAGAGCTTATATAAACAAATAATTTAGTATATCAAAGTGTTTTTTTACGGTTATTGGTTACCTACGGAGAAAATTAAAAAAAAACTAGGTGAAACCCGTCGAAATCGACGGTTACTTTCAAGGCTTACGCTAATTCATTTAACTGCGATATATTGAGTTAAATTATACATATTTTGAGCATTTAGCATTGTTTAAAAATCAATAAGTGTAAAACAATAACGATATTAATTGTGTTAGTTACCAAATATGGTTGATCATTCAACGAATAAAATATTTCCCATACTTTGGAAGAACCTTTAAATAGTATTAAAATCGTATTGGTGGATCATTTTTAGTTTAAAACTTCCCCGATTTCATCAGTGTAATCAAGATTAATCTATAATTTCGTTTGAGAGAAAATATCTGCTTGTTGAGGAGACACGTTCTAACTTAAAAGGGAGGTCCATCCGTCACAGTGTAAGTTTGATTTTTCCTTCGTCACGTCGCATCAGTTCATATCGTACTTCTGTGCCAATGAATTACCCTCTAGTATAGTTTTCAGAAATCGGTTGTGGGGTTAATGTTAAAGCTAAAAGACACTTCTGTACACTTCTGTACAACCGAAGATTTTTCCAATGATTGAAAACATGTATGACAATAATCTCACGGACCTATGATGATCTGTCTAGAATAATATGATAAAATGTAGCCAAAAGTGGTGAAAAAGGCAGACACCCACCCGTACAATAGATATACGATAGTTCAATAAGAAGTAATTGTTAAATAAGAGTTACTGTGACAAAAGGATTTCAACTGATTTCGTAATGGAACGTTATATTGCAAAATATGACATGATACAGAAGAAAATCAATTTTTAAATCAGAAAATAACATTGCAAATACTTCTTTTGGACAATTCAGTAACTCCCAATAAATGTGTGTTGTTTAAAATACAATTCAAAAATTAACAGCTGTTTCATTAAAAAGTATTATCCACATGGACAAAATGTAAACAACTCTGTAGAGGGATCTTTAAGGGCTTCTGGGGCAGAGCCCTAACGGGATTCACTTAGTTTTTCTTTTGGTAACTCATCTAGAGACCAAGACCTTTTTTTGGACACCTCTACCAAGTTTCTACGCCCATCGTTCTCTCAAATTAATAGAGACAAAGTTTCCAATTAAATATTTAGATTCCCCCATGTTAATCTTATAGGAGAAAATCCAACTTTGATGGAAGATCCTGCCCAAACTAATAAAGATTTCAAAAAACGAAAAAGACTTTGCAAAACTACAGATCAGGGCCATTCATTTGACACTTTAATCATCAAAATCGGTCCAAAAATGAGGGAGGAGTTCTGTTTACAAAAATCGGCTTAGCGTATTATATATATATAGATTGTTCATTTAAAATTCCCATGTTATTCTTATGGAGAATATTGTAAAATGTTGTAGTTGGCTTGTTTATGGATATATTTTGATCAAACTTGACAGATTTATGTTCTTCAGTTCTTCAGACGCAGCAGTTAGTGACGTCAAACGGCACCTGAGAAATCTTCCGTGTGCCCCACCGCCCAATCCCCCCCTGCTAAAACCATAAACCAAACCAAACCAAACCTAACCTATATTTCACTCCAATTTCTTGATTTCTTCCATTATGTTGAACGAGTACGTTGTGTTTTTAGTCTGTTTTCTTTTCTCGTTAAAACTTAAAAAGATTCTTTCATATTCAGTTGAAACTTGAAAGAGAAGAACCTAGCTATTAACTGTTTTGAATAGATATACACTGAAAAAAAACTATTATTTCTAAGTCAAAGAGCTAGGATACGGTACTTGATTACCTACCTGAGCTTTTTCATCAAATCTGCATAACTTATCTGCTTGGCATTGGAATTTTTGGAATTGGAAAGGGAGTCAATAGTAAGTAGTGAGTCAATAGTTATTAGTGGTAAATATTCAGTTTCCAGAACTCACCTAAAACGTTCTAGGGGTAACTTACAGTGTTTCTTAACTGGGCTACGCTAATATTGATTGAAATTATCGATTCAATGAGTAAACCTTCATGCGATTTTTTCACCATCAGCAAGTATGGTTGGTTAGGTTAGGTTATGATAGTTTAATTTATAATAGATATACGGTATTTTAACCCTCCAAGTGTCCATAGTAATGGTATTAATATGCGCAATTGCAGGGCTTTATTAAAATGTATCTTAGAAACTTAAAAACAATGTAAAGCATACTGTTTTAGAACTTATATAATTCTGTTTGGGAAATTATGGGCTTCAATGTGATATGTAAAACATTATACAATAGTTATTTGTGTATCTAGTGGGTAAAGTGGCACTTTGCTGCACACGAGAGCAATGTTTACACACGAGCCGCAGGCGAGTGTGGAATGATCTCGAGTGCAGCAAAGGCCTTTTACACTCGTGTTACACATTATATTTTTCCTACAGTCACTATAAAGCATATAAATAACTTAATTAGTCTTTCAAACACTATACAACACGTTTTTAGGTTCAGCTGGCAACACAAATAGGTGCCCTAGAGAAAGTAGTACCCGGTCCGTATCACTCCGCTAGTTTTCCTCGGCAAGAAATGTGCTCCGCGTTTTGAGAATATAGTTCCGTATGTTTTTGTAATTTGAAGTGGTTTCCGCGCCTGAAAAAAATCATTAAAGGTATTTTCTTGTTTATTAAGATCGTAGGAATGTTTTAAAAACGTTTAAAAGAAAAGTTCAGAAATACCGAAACTATAAACACGAAATGACAGGTTAATTCGTAGTTTATAATAGTCAATCAGCTGCTCATAGTATTAGTATCTTAAAGTGTTGCCAACCTATTTCCAAGCGTACAAGGATTACGTGCATAATAGAACCACACTGTTTTGTGTTGTTTCGTTGGAATCCTGATGTGCGGCAAAGTATAAACCGTACGACAAAGTATAAACTGTACGGCAAAGTATAAATATGCAGCTATTAGCAGCTTTCTGTACTATAACCAGTACAAGGAAGCCAGCTTTGTCGGGTGACTGTAGGAAAAAAAAAATTCCAAAAATTTTTGTGGGGTTAACATTTCTCAAAAATTACAAAAAAAATGAAAAAAATTAAGTTTGCACTCAATACATTTTTATAATTTAAGTTATAAGTCTACATATATTTTAAAATAGCCACTTTGCTCTAAATATTATAAGGATTACAAAAATATAATGATATAAGGAAGTAAATTTGCAAATAAATAAGTTATGGGTGAAAAACAGATTTCGTACATTTAGCGTTAGCTAAGAATGCATAGCCCAACCATAGCTAGGAATCTAGTCGATAATTTACATCAATATCACTAGGTACCTACCTACTTCTTCGGGATCATCAACTAGCCCTTCAAAATTACTTAAATCTTCTTATAATGCACCACGTATATCACTACTTTTTATTTTTAACACTAAAACAATGATAAACGTAATAAAACACATCAGTCATCGGTGTGAGGTTAACCAAGTTGTTTACAAATATGCACATCAGCTGTCTGCTACAATATTTTCAGAACTAAAATGAAAAGCGTCTAGAAACAGACATCAGGAGAAAGCTTAGAATCTGCCGAAAACAACGATACCAATCTCAATCCAGTTCAATCTGATTCAGTCTGTCCCAGAGCCTTCGCCGTAAACGATGTTTGTGTGTCGCAAAAGTGACGCTTAACACCACGGCAGGTGTGTTGTGTATCGATTACGCGACGCTTAACACTCGGAGGGTTAAAGTATTGATTATAATGAATATTTTCAATTCAATAGTTTCAGTCAATATTAGCGTACGGTAGCCCAGTTAAGAAACTGTAACTTACCCCGTTCTAGGCCTAGGCCTATATAAGACGTGTTTAAACTGTTCCTACTTCCTAGACACCATCACAACAACGGGTACACGAGCGTTCTGCTCAATCTTCTCGGGAGACATCAAGATTCTACCTGGCTCTGGTATTATGGGCGTGGATGTGTTTCTGGTATTGAGAAGTGGAACACTGCATTTGATTTCAATTAGGCAGGCGTAGATGTGGCAGCAGACGATTAGAATTCCAAGTCTCTTGAAAATCGGTTTGCAGTGTTCTCTAAAAGGGCTCCTAGATATGAAACGGACTGCCGCTTTTTAAAGCTTTAAGTTAAATACTTCCTCCAATTCTGACTCAAAGGTGCAGTTTATACTCAATGTGCGAATGGGACAGGGCACGGTAGATATAGGCTACCATCAGCAGGTACTGCTCAGTAATACATTTCCGGAGGCATCTCAGAAGACAGTTTACTTTGGCAAGCCGTGTGGCAACATGGACAGCGTGGTCGTTCCAGTCTTGTCGGCCGTCCAGCTGGAAACCAAGGAGTTTTACTGTATTTTGCCATGTCGTCCGAGGAGTCTCTTGAGAGGGAACAAAGGAGTCTCTGGGTTTCGTCTCCATCCAGTTGCATCTTGGGGCCTATTCATCTGACACCACGCTTTGGCTTGTTGGACCTGAATTGTAGCTAAATCCCTAATGTGGTGTAGGTTTGGCTCTCTAGTGAGAAGCATGGTTTTATCGCAAATAGATGGAGCTGCTGGTCTTGTCGATGTCATTTATGAGGACCAGGAATAGAAGAGGGCCCAGCAAAACCTTCTGGAGAGGATCCTTGAGGAACCCCCTGGTTCATCTCTAGTTCTATAGAGCTTGCGCCTTCGAGCGTTACCTTCTGAGTTTATTTGGCTTGGTAATTCCTGTAGGTGGAGAGAACCATGCCACCAACACCATATCTGCTAAGTTTGTTGAGCAGAATATCATGCGATACGCAGTCAAAATCTCTGCTGAGGTCACAGAGCGTGAGCATAACAGACTCCCTAGCTTCAAAGGCCTTCCCAATTTCTCTTTCAATGCTGGCAATAGCAGATGAAGTATATCTCCCTGCGCGGAAGCCGTGCTGTGAGTAAAAAAAAGGGCTGTTGTTCTTCAAAGTATGTATAGAACTGAGTTTTCATCACCATCTCTTATCGCCTTATTAATCATGTGAAGTATCGAGATAGGCCTGTAGCTTGGATACTGGCATAATCACCATTATGTAGATTGGAATGGTCTTGGCTCTCTTAAGCTTCTCCGGATAGACATCTGTCAATAAGCACCTGTTGATAACTGTAGTCAGGGGGCAGCGATGTCATCAGCTACATCTTTCAATATTTTAAATGACTAGCCAAAGCAATCACAGGCTCTAGAACTTTTGAGTCCAGAGATCAGAGTCTGTATCTGCTTCTCTGAGAAGGTATTCCATCTGTCAAAGGAACAGTGGAGCTCTTGCACACTCCTTCCGACAAAAGCCAACGGGTCTTGGGGGCTATCTGGGATGTTGTAGATAATTTCTTCAACAGACGAGATGAAGAAGGTGTTAAATTCATCTGGACTCACCATGCAGACATTTTAGGCTTCTGGGGCTTTATTCTATTTAACACAGGGAGGCTGCTTTGCATTGGTTTGGTGTGCTTTCAATAAAACAAACTTGACTAATTATTGTCCTTGCGTTTACTTGTAGGCCTACCTTTTCTGCTCGTAGCAGGGAAGCATTCCTCAAAGATGTCCTGTAAAGTTCCCAAAAAACCATGCATCAGAGTTTTGTAAATCGAAAATCCAATCCCATCTTACAGCCCTGGAGACGACCCTTAAGTTTTGCAGAGCGTCAGGTTTTGAGAGATTTTGTCTATGCAAGAAACATAATTTGCATCTTAACATGCCTAAATAAGGACTAGGTGTAAGAGGTCAGCCAGCCCATTTACATTCCCGTATTTAAAGAAAACATTATTGACTGATGAGTCACTTTAGAAGTGTTCATTAGTCAATGATAATTTTCTATTTTATAATCGATGATAGGCCTTAAATCTTCCCATAATTTCTCAACTTGCTTCACTTCACCTTCACTTAGTGATGCCATTGTTGATTGACAGATGTCCAAAAATATTTAATTATTTGATCAGCTAGTTTTATTCATTTGCGCTAATAATGATGATTAGGATTCAGGAGGTAACTTAAATAAAACTTTAGAATAAGATATCATAAGATATCATAAGATATCATAACCTCCAAACAAGATAATTAACCTCACCACCGGGCGTCTGCTGAATCCACAAACTCCACGAACAATTTTTGTTGATCCACTGCCACCTAGATACTACAAACGTATTTAAATCAGTACTATACGAAATATAAAAATCAAATGGAGAATTTTCTCTGCCCACTTTGTGATTCACAGGTCAATGACAATGGAAAAGGTATTTTATGTGAGGGGCAATGTGTAACATGGTATCATCCCACATGCATGGGAATGTCAGATGAACACTACGAAGACCTAGCCAACGATACAAGAACCCAATGGAAATGCCCTCCCTGTCAATTGTATTCAACTGAATTTGATATTTTTGAAGTAGCGCATCCCACTTACCTAGGGAACAATGTAATCAGCGTTTTACAAGCCCAACAATCTGACCTTGAAAACAACGAAGAGACCAGTACTGAGAATGACCTCGCCCTGGCCGCTGAAATAGGGACATCGCTACTGAATGAAAATATAGAGTTGAAAAAAGAAAATGGAATCCTACAACAAAAAATAATGAGCTTACTCGCCTTGAATGAGGAAAATGACCACCAAATAAACAGTTTACATACCCACAAGGCAACCTTGACTGAATCATATAACTCTCTCCTAAAACAGCTAGCTAAGGAAAGGCAACAATACAATGAGCTACAGCATCGCTTCGAGGAACATGACACTGATCAAGAGATACTGATAACAGACCTCAAAACACAAATACGACGGCTAAAAGACACCAGGCTAGCAAAATCTACTCCAGAAAAGCAGCTTAAAAGCTATCATAATGACAAGTCGCTGATTTCTATACACTCAGTCGACGATAAGCCAACAACAAACCTTAGTGACGACATGAATACAGATACAACTATCTTATTGAGCAAAATCAGGTCACTTGAATGCAGGGTGTCCACCCTGGAAGTTTCTTGCACGTCTGGCACAGCAATAAACGTTCCAAACAAGGCAACAAAAAAATTATCTAAAGAATCAGCTCTACCAATTGTAACAACCAGTCCTGAAAAACATGTCACACTCCCGAACGTAAAGCCCAAGCCTTTAAACCCACCAATGTTTGCAGTGATACGGAACAATGACGAAAGTGTGGATGACTTTTTCCATAGGTATCTAAAGCTTGCTGATAGTTTCAAGAAAAACAATACAGACTATGAAAACCCTCTCGACCCCAAATCGACAACAACTGTAATCTCAAATGAAATCAAAGAAGACTCCGCTCCAAAAGACTACGTTGAGAAGCATTTTTTAGCCTATGCCCCAAACCCGGAAGACAGGGTGAGATTCAAGCAAAAAGGAAGATTAATAATCAACTCGTCTCTCAAAAAGTAACTATCTTTCACCAGAACGTAGACCGCATAGCAAACAAGATCGAACGCTTAAACCACCTACTAGATATTCACAAACCAGACATAGTTGTAGTCACAGAACACGGGCTCAGTCGCGACTGCATTGGGAACGTTAGTCTTGCCAACTATAATCTGCTCACATCATACTGCCGAACAAATCATAAAAAGGGTGGTGTTGCTATATACTGCCATAATTTACTTGGAAATCATACAGTAAGTGCCGATATAGATCATTTCAGCAGAGAGCTAATCTGCGAACTAACAGGAATAAAAGTTGACCTCAAGGCAGGTGGGAGCATTTTTATTCTGGGTACTTATCGACCCCCCGACGCACCACTTGAGGATGCACTAATGTCGCTAGCCAGCACCCTCGACGCACTTCCTTCTGCAAACAGCGGAATCTGCATTGTTGGAGACTTCAACGTAGACTCCTTGGTAGAGTCAAGAGAGAGATCGGCGCTTAATGAGATGTTGACGTCATTCAACATCCACAGACTGCGTATTCCCGCAACTAGAATAACTAGCACATCAGCTACCTCAATTGACTATGTTTGCTCTAGCCTTGATCCAGATCTAATAAGTGCTGAAGTGGTTCACGCACATCTGTCTGACCACTCTGGGCAACTTATTAATATACTTTTCCCTCTAGGGAAACATGCGGAAACCATCTGTACCCGGCGACATTACAATCAGAACAACATGCTGGACTTCAGAGAAAATTTGTCCATCCAAACTTGGGACGAAGTTTTGCAGGAAGAGTATGCAGATGCATCCTACACCAAATTCATCTGTCTATTGACTTCCATTCTCGACCTTTCTTGTCCATACAAGACATCCAGAAGAAAGCCTTCTAAACCAAAAGCTGTCCTTTACGACGATGAAGTAAATGAATATAAAAGGGCCTTCACCGAAGCAAGGGAAAAGTTCATATTGACTGGTAGACTAGATGATAAAGTTGACTCCGCTCAGAAGAAAAAAATATATGACCTCAAGCTTAGGACCCTTAGAAGAAAAGAAAATGAGAAGCTCATCTCCAAATCGTCAAACAAAAATAAAGCAATTTGGTCAATAATCAACTCAGAAATAAATTCATCAAATAGATCCAAGGATACTATATGGTCTCTGAAAACAGCCAACGACACAGTAAACAGCATTTATATAATAGTAGAACTTTTCAACACACACTTTGCCACTATTGCTGATGAAACTCTGCGTAACAAAAATCTGACTAAAACATTAACAGCCAGCAATATTCCCACCACCTTAAAAGAACCACTTCAGACATTTGCTCCAACAACCTTGGAAGAAATTAGCAAAATTATTCGAGCAACCAAAGTGTCTTCTTCAGCAGGAGTGGATGACATCTCATCAAGAATCATGAAATTCTGCGAGAAGGAACTTCTCACTCCCTTAGCTGCCCTGATCAACAAATCACTAGCTCAAGGTGTGTTTCCATCAAAGATGAAAATCTCTAAAGTCTACCCACTCTACAAAAAAGGAAATAAGGATGAAATCAAGAACTATAGGCCGATTTCACTCGTCTCTACATTCTCTAAAGTCTTGGAGAGAGTTGTGTTGAATAGACTTCGGGATCATCTTCATCAAAATGACATCAAGCTCAGCGAGCAGCATGGATTCATCCCAGGTCGCTCAACAGTGACTGCTCTCGGGGAAATTATTGAGCACATCATTGACAACTTGGATGCTGGGAACACAACCATTAGCACCTACCTTGACCTAAGCAAAGCATTCGACTGCCTTGACCACAGCTTGATACTGAGCAAGCTGGAACTTCTCGGCATTGCAGGAACAGCAATCAACTGGTTTTCAAGTTACTTAAGCGGCCGAGCACAGATCGTGGAGCTGAGACAAACCATCGATGGAACAACAACAGCAGTTCAATCCAAACCGCTAAAAATAAATAGAGGTGTTCCACAAGGCTCGGTCTTGGGACCGGTGCTTTTCGCCTTGTTTATGGCTGATTTCCCAAGCCATGTTAATACGTTCTGTAAAGCGGTAATGTTTGCTGACGACACCGTCCTGTTGACCTGCAAGAAGACAGCAGAAGAATTAGAAGTGGATAGTTTCATCGCCCTAAACCTGGCTCAGGACTACTGTGATAACAATGATTTGGTCTTCAACGAAGATAAAACTACCCAGCTCATCATAGGAAGACTACAAAACCAAGTCTCTGGCCCTCCTAACATCCAAACGTGCACTTTTACCAAACATTTGGGAGTCGTTTTAGACCAAAAACTTACTTGGAATCAACACGTTGACGCACTCTGCCTAAAACTAAGCTCTGCGAAATTTGCTTTAAGGAGGGTTCGATCCGTCAGTACCTCCGAAACTATACGAACATGCTACCATGCTTTGTTTGAATCCCACCTCAGGTACGGGATCATCTTTTGGGGTGGATCATCACAAGAAAACCTGGATCGAGTTTTGGTGCTCCAGAAAGAAGCAATGCGAATAATGGTCGGTCTTCAACCAAGAGAAAGCTGCAGAGAAACCTTCCGTAGCTTACGCATACTCACCGCAGTCTCGATCTACATCTTGGAGGCAATTTCCTACACAATTAAGGTCTCTTCGTCGAAGCATGTTGCCTTCCACAGTTATGATACGAGGCACAACGAGGACTTCCATCTGCCCTCCCACAGAACATCACTCTTCTCGAAGAAGCCTTCGTATGCTGGAGCGAGGTTCTTCAACCTTCTTCCCCAGATTGTCAAAGAGGGCTCACCTACAACGTTGAGAAGGCGAATTCGGAATTGGCTTGCTGACTACCCAATCTACAGCCTTGAGGAGTTTACGGCCCGTGCAAGACCCCATCTACGGTTACACTAAAAATCTTTTCATGTAAAAAAAAAAAAAAAAAAAATGTATTGACACCATTCTGTGCTTGATGCTCATGAATAAAGTACTCTGTATTCTGTGTATTCTGTATCAAGATTAACAATTTGCGCGAAGGTAAATGTATCCAATAAATACCTGGTACCTTAGGCTAGTAGGCTTCTGTTTCTTTAGATGAATACTCACACGGTTGCACGTTGCACCGGAAAAATAACGTTTTGCAATTGAGCAAACATTTCTCACACTTCACTACATTGCTGAGAATACTAGTTCTACCTCATGTTAACATACCTACTGTTTTAATCAGTATAATTGTTAGCCTATTACAAATTAAGTGAATCGGAAATAAATATTAATTAGTTAATTGTTAGTAATCTTACCTCAACTTCAACTTTACTTATCTTAGGCCCTAATGACTTAAAAATGATTCCAATTTTTTACAGCACACTCTAGACCCTATGTTACTCATCCTGCTTAATCCTCAGCTTAATGTCTTGTTGATTAAGTTATCCAGCACCAACCATTGATTCAACTTGCATTGGAAATCCTCATCCGCTGAATAAAGCTATAACTTCTATAGTTCGGCCGCTTAGAAAACGACCTGCGCGCTAATGCTAAACCAATGCTGGAGGAGGTCGCTTTCTAAGTGGCCGAACTATAGGACGATACTGTTTATAATATTAGCCTAAAGCTTAGCTTTGATTTCATCATAGTAGGGTGAAAATACCTAATTTAACTTAGTCTGTTCTTATGATTTTGATTTCAAATGGATTCTGACACATAGGGTTGTTATTGTTTCCGATAAAAACAGATTGAAATATTGGATTCAGCATACAATATCGGCTAACTTTCCATGAAGCCTAACCATGATAACCAGGTAACATAGAGGCAAACTTAATTAGGCCTATTTTAATTTAACATTTGGTATAAGGGATTACTGCATCCTGTTTCAACATTTGAATGGTTTTTTAGGCCTGGACGCTACTTGATGTTGTAGATGTAGTGGGGTACTGCAAAAGTTAGAAGATGGAAAGTGATAACACGACAACGAGGACACCTTATTTAGGCCAATACGCTTGGGATGTTGATAAGTATCAATACAATTTCCCTATCGAACATTGGAATTTATGCAAAATCTTCATGGTACTTAACAAAACCAAATACCCTGAAACTCGTTTGGTTCAACTAACAGAAGCTTTTTTCAAGAAGGGTGTTTACAACCAAAAGTAAGTTTTTCTTCATTCTTCTTTTTGTTAATACTGTTCTTGTTGTACTTAAAATCTGGATATCAACTTAAGTAAGTTACAATCTGAAGCAAGTTGGGTACAGTTCGGCAGAGAACCTACAATATATTATCGGATGAAATTTTTATTCGATATAGGTAGCCTAATTATTGAATGTACCTACAGTACTCATTCTTTAAAAGTAAGATACATACGTTGCCATTTTTATATAACATATTCATGGTGTAAAATATTTTTATTACATGTAGAGAACCATCTAATGTTGTGATTTTTGGGTATACAGTACAGTAGATTCTCGCTAATCCGGACTAATGTGGCGGACATCTGGTCCGGATTACGAAAAGTCGGAACATATACAGTACTGTATATAGCAGTTTTTTCCCAATTTTGTTCCAGGTCCACAGTATTGATAGCCTATATTATTCTATATATTTCGCAAATACAGTTCCACCGGCAATAATTTTTACCACCGTGTTATCCAAGTTTTTGATTAGTCTAGGTCCCATTTAGCTTGTATATTCGGACTTCTACTGTACTGTACTGCTAAAAAAAAACATGATTGCCGATCCTAGCAAGAGTCCGGACAAGGCTGATCCAGATGAGCAAGAGTCTACTGTATTAGTATTTTCTTTTTATACAGGCAAGGCTTCTGTTGTGGAAAGTTGGATATAAAATCTGCCTTGATCCAGGAAGTGAATACTGTATTAAATTCACATTGTAAAATTTGTTGTCAGCTGTGATCCCAAGACTGATCGTATTGTGGCTGCTCTATCCATCCCCGTGGTTGAACATCTGCTGAGTTACAAACCTGGGTACATTCACCACCCTTTCTCAAACAAAGATTATGAGAATCCATCAGGTAAACATATGTCATGATCAAAGTATTTTTAATCAGAACGTAGAATACTTACTGTCATGAAGAAAGTCCTCCTAGTTCTTCATGAATCCAATTAGCCTAAATATTTTAACATCAATGGAATCACTTTTCTCGGTTCAATTGTTGTTTCATTATTTGTTTATCTTAGCACATGAGTTTGTGCCTTTAGTCTAGTAACCTACCTATATGTTTTTATTGAATTACTCAAACGTCACTATGCCTATCGTTATCGATATTGGTCGTCATCAGCAACGAGTTAAGATTTTAGTATTTGTTGCAACTCAACCGATTTGCTGCAAACAGTGGTATAAGAGTTACGTGAAGATGCCCAAAGAATTAGTTTCCAGAGAGGTTAATATTACCACTACTCGTCTTTGGCATGGTGCTGTACTAAAACCGCCTTGGGTTAGTTTTTAACTTTAAAGGAAAAGATTTAGTATTTCATCCCCAAAATTATGAACACTACCTTCCTATGAGAATCGCATAATTCAGTGTTTCCCAACCGGTGTGCCGGTAGTATCCACTAGTAAGCGCTAGGCGTAGAGAAGCGATAGCATAGCAACAGAACAGAATACTCATTTTCAGTTAACCTGTCAGTGCTAGTGTTGTTTTGTACGTCGTTAGTATTGATTGTGTGACATGGATCGTTATTTAACAAAGAAAAACGATGTTAGTACCTGTTCTAACTCAAGTGAAGAGACTAGTAGTGCTGACGTTAGTGGAAACAAAACTGTTATGGCAAGTAGGCCTACAAAACGAAAACATAACGAACGTAACGATGGTGGATCGGTTAAGTTTCGTCAGTACCATGACAGCTACTTGTCATTCGGGTTTACGTCGTCTGGTGGAGAAGAGCCGAAACCCCGTTGTCTAATTTGTAGTGACCAGCTGTCAAATGAAGCTATGGTACCAAGTAAGTTGAAAAGACATTTAGTTACGAAGCATGCTTTTGCTGCTGAAAAACCGGTTGAATATTTTAAAAGACTTTTGTTAAATCAATCCGCACAGGCTTCAACATTTACAAAACTCTCTTCTGTATCGGAAAAAGCACAGGAGGCCAGTTACGTTGTAGCTGAATTAGTTGCTAAAAAAATGAAATCACACACAACAGCTGAAATCAATAATTTTACCAGCTTGCTGTGAAATTGTTAAAATTATGTTTGGTGAGGAATGTGAAAAAGAAGTTAGAAAAATCCCGTTGTCTGACAATACAATAAGTATTCGCATTGAAGACATGTCCAAAGACGTTGAAGCTCAAGTTACTGAAAAACTTAAAACAGTAGATTTTTTTGCTCTTCAGTTGGACGAGTCCACAGATATAACCGGGAAACCTCAGGTTCTAACATTTGTTAGATTTATTTGTGAAAGTGAGTTAATTGAACAGTTTTTATTTTGCAAAGACCTTCCTGGAAATACAACTGGACTAGATATTTTTCAGCTAGTGAACAATTATTTCTCCGCTAATAGTTTGTCATGGCAGAATTGTTTGAGCGTTTGCACAGACGGTTGTCCTGCAATGGTTGGCCATATAACAGGTTTTCTGGCCTTGGTTAGGAAAGAAAATCCTGATATTATTTTTACACATTGTTTTCTTCACAGGGAAGCTCTAGTTGCCAAGTCTTTGGTACCTGAGCTGAATGATGTTTTGCAAATTGTTATAAAAATGGTTAACTTCATCAAGAGTAGGCCTTTGAAGTCCAGATTTTTTGACAGTTTGTGTTCTGCTATGGATGCTGAGCACACCAAGCTTTTACTACACACCAAGCTTTTACTACACACAGAAGTGAGATGGTTATCACGAGGACTTGTCCTTCAAAGATTTTATGAACTTAGGGATGAGTTATTGATATTTTTTACTTGTGAAGAATCTGAGTATGTTGATTTTCTTAGTAATGAAAACTGGTGTGCAAAAGTAGCTTTTTTGGCTGACATATTTGGGAAATTGTATTTTTTGAACAAAGGCATGCAAGGAAAGCAAGAAAACATTCTCACTTCCACTGACAAAATAAGTTCTTTCCAGCAGAAGCTTTCGATGTGGATAACTAAAATTGAAAAACGTGGAACCTTGGACATGTTTGAACTGACAAAAGATTGTGATATTGATTCAACTTTTTCCGAGCTAATTTTGAAAAGTCTGCGTCTGTTTGAAGGAAATATAAAAAAGTACTTCCCATCCCTTGATATTTCCTCAATGGACTGGGTGAGAAATCCTTTCATTGAAGCTGCTTACAAGACTGCATTGTTTACGACTGATGAAGAGAGTGAGCTGATCGACTTAAAAAATGATCGTGGATTAAAGCTACAGTACTCCAAATTAGTTGAAGATGCAGAAGCAGAATCAAAACTGAAGAAAACCAAAGTTAATATTGATATTTCATCTTCTTGGATTCCTTTACTAAAGGAGTATCCGCTAATTTCGAAGAAGGCCATGAAAGCAATATTGCCCTTTTCTACTTCGTACATTTGTGAAGCTGCATTCTCATCAATGAACGCAATCAAGACCAAAACCTGTTCTCAACTTAAGTCTTTGGAAGACGATATGAGAGTCTGCTTGTCAACCATTCGTCCAAGAAAGAAACTTTTAATGAACAAACGTCAAGCACAAGTTTCCCACTAGAACTGAACCTTGGTTTATTAAACATTTCTTACTCATTGTTGGTAAATTCATACATTTTAATCAAGCTTCATGTTTTATTATCATTTACTTTCCATTTAATAAAAACTAAATAATGTACTATGTTAGATAACAATTGTGAGTTTTCTATTTTTTACCTTGGTAAACCCACCTTTATATTATACACATATATATTTACTAGTAAAAAACAGGTTTTACGGGGTAAGATGTAATTGAAAAAAAGAGTATTTTATGTACTTACTAAATGTAATTTCAACCAACGATATTTTTGTAGACAAGTGTGCCGTGACTACAAACGTGTTCTAGCTAGTGTGCCCTGAGCGGAAAAAGGTTGGGAAACACTGGCATAATTAGTGATAGGAAATAAAAAAGGTTTCAAAAAATAGTTTTCTATCCTCAGCCTCTGGATTCTTATCACGGTTTGAGGTTTCAATACACTACTCTTGTATAACTGCTAGTAACTACCTAATTTATTATTGATTGCCTTGTAGCGTAAAAGTGATTTTAACGTACAGTACTATCATACTGGCAGTGATTCTGCTGGACCCTACAGGGTATCCAGCTGACTTGAAAACTGAATTTTAGGCTACACAAATTTTGTATAGAACCGATAAGTTTATGATTTGCAACAATTACCAATAAAATTAGCCAATAACTGCATTTTGTCCTCTTTTAACGACATCAAGCCAATTAAGAAAATTGCGATCCCTGGAAATAATAACAGTGTTGCTGTGCGCGTGCAAGTTGGTGCGATGTTAAAAAAAACCACAGTTATTGCCGTGACTGTGGAAGATGATCTGCTGGAGATGATCGCGGATGACCACGATTGCATGAAGTCATCATGTATGTTACCACAATTGCGGGAAATCTTCACAGATACTGCTACGGCCGCTGGAGATCATGGATGTTGACGCATCGAATGAGATGCTACCAACGTTGGCTGCTATTCTAGAGTTCATTGGAGTCTACAATGACAGTGATTCTGAACTGGAAGTGCATAAGATATTTTGATACACTTCCACTCTATCAGTGATTCTGTACTAGTGTATAAGTGATTTTATTTGATCTAGTTTGTATATGATTCCAAAGTTTAATGTTTTTAACAATCAATTTTATAGCAGAACCGTTATCTCTTCATGAAGAATCGCTTGACATTACATTTTGAAAATTTTTTTTGCATTGACACAGTTTGGGATAGCTGCTAGGCATACTATAGCAGTTTCATTTTTTGTTGCCTATAAAAAGTGTGTTGTAATTGTAACACCAGAGACAGCTTTAGTTTGTCATGAAGGAATTTTTTTCTGACAACTGCATTGGTTGCTGCTTCCATCTGCTTCATTGGCTTCAAGAGGAGTGTTTTTCTTATTTTAAGGCGACCTATTTTTATCTTATAAATTATTTAGCTTTAAAGAAACAAGGTTTTTGATAACATAGTTTCAGTAATATGATGTCAATGGTGTGAAGGTGGGCATGTTAGTTATAATTATGTCAATTACCTACAAATCAGCAAGCTAACAGTAGCCTAGCCTATATAAGTTAAAATTAGTTTACAGTAGAATAGGTTGAAAACAATTCATAGATATTTAAAAAAAAAAAAAGGCTGTCTCATGTTAAGTTGAGGCAGACTACCTGACCAGAGGGTATAGCAGGACAAAAACTAGACCGAACCTTCGACGGACCCTCCCGACCCTTGTAGTAAATCCCATTAACCACGCTTCACTGAATACTTCACATAAAGGCGTAAATATATTGATTAATTGAAAATATAATCAATTCGTCATATCTGAAAATAATGTATTCTATGTTTTAAAAAACAAAATTTAAAACGGCCGACTTGAAGTATTAAAACAAACTGCTAAATTTGTTATTTTTACATTAAAGAAGTGAGATTAATAACCGTGTGGCTTAAATAACAGGTTTTATTAATCCCAAGGGCAATATGTAATTGTAAATTAAATCAAATAACTAGCCACCATCCATGTCGGGAACCAGAGAATCAGTGTGTAATCAAGTTGTATCCTACTCGAGTTTTGATAACGGTGCCAAAAGCCTACAATCGAGGTTTCCACTCATTAATGGCGTTTCGAATGCTTACTTTTAAAGGTAAGGGTCAAGTGGAGGTGATAGATTTCTTCCCTTAAGACCGCCTAAATATTATGAACGAAGTATAATACAGAATATCAATTAGACCTATTAGTAATTTAAAATTAAATATTGTACTTAGTTATAAGGGGAAAAGTTTGTTTTAATACTTAAAGTCGGCCGATTTGCATGGGACTAACATAAAAAATTTTGTTTTTTATAACCTAGAATACGTTATTTTCAATTACGACGAATGGATTATATT